TTCACCCCCACACCCTGCAATTCTCCCACCCCCTGCAAAACCCCTCAATTTTTTTTACAAATTGAAGTTGTTTTGTGTAGTTTACAATTCAAATTTTTTTAGAGATTGAAGTTCTTTTATGTTTTTTTTACAAATTTCTTTTTACAGATTTTTACAATTTTTTTTACAAATTACATTGATAGATTAAGACATATAGCCCTTAGAGTCAGTTAATACTTGATATGCAGTAAGCATTTAAGCTATGTTAGCCTTTAGCCGGTTGATGAATCCAAAGACTAGACCCTGTTTATGAAGTAGTGAATGTTAGCAATTAGCACGAGATGTTTGTTGAAACCCCTCTAGTTCTTTTTACGGTTTTTTTTACACGTTTTTTTTTTACAAATTTTTTAGAATTCAATTGATTTCCCTAGACCAAACAGACAAAGTAATCATTCCTCCCCTTACCCTTTCTTGTTTCCTTTCCTTTCGTCATCATAAACCAAACTCCCCCTAACTATAGTCTATAGGTCACCTTAGGCACCTCTACCCTGCTACAGCCGGTATAAATTTTAACCTATTCAGCATTTCCCTAACCAGAAAGCGGCGAAGCTGAGAGAATGAAGGTAGCTCCCAAAGTGATATTGCTCTTCAACGATTCGCACGGCTCCGGTGCCGCCATCTTCAGCGCTCTCAGGCCATGCCCTAACTCCGACCTTCAACATCGGTAAGCACTCGCAGTCTCGTATCTTCATATCCCCAAGCCCCCTCCCGCATGCCGCAGTCTGTTTACGCGCTTCGATTTGCCATTTCCAGCGAAGAATCTTTTCATCTGTCACTGGAAAAGTACGGAATCCGAGATCTTAATGCTTCTGGAAAGATCCTCCATTTCGAATCTCCCACAGGTGTTTATGAGGTATTTATCTTTTTGAAATTGCAGAACAGATACACGCATGCCTTTAGAAATGTGATGAATCTGTTGCTTTTTGTTCCTATTGATTGATCATTGTTTGTTTGTATGATTAGATAGTTTTTGACTTTCGTTATGTTTCCTTCACTTGTGTTGGAATTACCTAGATAGTGTACAATCATTCATGGCGTGGTTCTTCCGTCTTATCAGGTCTCTGTGTTGCTTTTAGAAAGTTACGAGCCTCCAATATTAGCTTGTGCTGTTAGTGAAACTTTGGCTGCTGTAGCAGCTGGGGAATCATCATCTGTGCCTACAATGGTAGTCCCATTTGTTGTTCCGGGAACTAAGCTGAGGGCAGAGAGTAAATTTTCTGCCACTACGGACAACACTCAAATATATGGGTTGCAGTTTGGGCCGTCTAACGATGAGACTCAGGCGTTGAGCTTGAAATTGCCAAATCCACCACCGTCTTTACAGATTTTTCATGAACAATTGGCCTGCTTTCTCCAATTTATCCGCGTATTGATGTTGCCGACAATAGTGTTGATTGGGAAAACTGGTCAGAGTACACACAGCCTGACATCAGATGAGCAGCTTCAGGTATATCTGATTCTGATGGCAACAAGTCTCATGTTTATAGCCTTTTCCTTTTTTGGTGAAATCTCTTGACAATTTGCTTTAGTTAACTACTCCCCGGCTCACAATATGTCACGTTGGAACAAATGAAGCAGCTTGTGTTAGAAAATAAAACCGATAAAAACTTTACAATATTTCCACTTACTAAGATCTAACTATCATTGAAAATTGAAATTGCAGAGGGGTCTTGAAGAGGGTCTAAATGAGAATATAACATTGAATTCTGTCTTGGACTCTTGGTTTTATAAAACAACATATATTACGAATACATTGTAGTGATTATAATGCAAAAAAGTAGATTTGTCTTTAATCATGATGGCTTGCTTTGTAGTATTCTTGTGATCAACAACCAAATATTGTGCAATTGCAGCTGGCCGAGCTGACTGACTTACGTACTGTCAGCCAGTAAGTTATTACAGTTGCTAAAGTAAAGTTAGTGGCTATAAAACCAGCTCTTGTCAGCCTCAGCTTCAGCTGGACAGGATAGATAATGCCTTACATAGATTTTTTTAAAATTTTATCTATAATTTTCATAAAGGGCTTTACTATCTTGAAAACAATGATAAGATAAACAACGAAATTATAGGTAGTGCTAGTTAGCTTAGTGGGCAAGGTTTTCATATCACGTAGAGTCATTCTGCTCCATAAAGGCTGTCGAAGTCACATATTCGCATGTTCACAGCAAGTCAATACACTTTTTGCCTGTTTGGCCTGTTAAATCTGATGAAATGACAAATCTCCTGAATTTTCTACAAGAACATTTTGCTGAAATATTGACGAATGACGATGCTCAAATCTGGAGAACTTTTTTTTCTGTCAATGGATTAATACATGCAATTGTTCCTCTGCATCAAGGATGTAAGGTTAAAAAAATAAATCTATCACCACTGCCATGACAAACCTGTGTTCATTGTGAAGGGATCAAGTGCATTAGATGATACATGATTTGTTGTAGTATACAATATGATTTTGACATTAGTTGTAGTACTCTAGTAGTAGATGCATGTGTTTCGCAGCCTGCCGAGCTGAATGGCTTAAGAGTTGCCATACAGTAAGTTATTATAGCTGCTACATATCTATGGCAAAACAACCAGCTCTTGCCTGCTTGAGTTCAAGCATGCCAAGATAGATCGTGCCAGACATTTTGTGGTGGCAATGACTTTGACATCTGAAAGTCATTCTTCGACTTACCAAACAGAGTCGAAGGTAACATTCGATAAACAATAATGATATGTAATGTAATTTATTCAAATATGAATTTACATTTTCACGCTACACATGCATTTGATTACATTACCATATGTTGCGTTATGACTTACCATACTGACTGCCTAAGTTTTTATCAACTGCTACATGCTTTTCTTGTTCCATCATTAGTATGGACGAGCACCATATAAGCACTGATTTTGAAGCAACCCATCTTGGCAGTCACATTGAGGTTAATGTACTTAACTTTTCCTTTGTTGTTATGCTTTGGCAGGCTATATATCAGATTGGAGAGCATCTGGCCAGCTTCTCGCCACTTTGCCTATCAAGAGAGAGGATAACATTGGAGTCTTCGGCGAAGGTTAGTAGGGAGAATGAAGAGCCTTGGCGTGCACTGTATGGCTGAATTTTTGAAAATTGTTTTGTTTCAGGCTTTTATTGACCATGTTAAACTTGTTTGAATTTACATAGTAAAATTATCTGTTGATATGTAAACAATGTTGTTTAAATATATAAATATAAATATTGTCTCCTAGCTTTATTGTGTATGTTTCTTTAAAAACTTTATCGTGTACTACGTATGTCTTAAATATGTTGTTAAACTGGTCTCTGGTAACTGGAAATTACTTCTCTATGCCCAAAAAAAATTACTTCACACCTCTCTTTTTGAACGATCGACATTTCTTGGTTAAAGTTTTATAAACTTGGATCTCGATATATGAAAAAAACATACTTTATTTCAATATAAATGTAATATGAGATTCTAACAACAACAACAACCCAGTTAAATCCCACAAGAGTAGGGTCTGGGGAGGGTGTGTGTACGCAGACCTTGCCCCTACTCGAAAGTAGAGAGGCTGTTTCCAAAGAGACCCCCGGCTCAACATCGAAAGTTGCAGTGTTTGACTAACTGCTACTTCATTAATTAAAGAAGCGCAGATAGTTTAGAGATCCATTTTGATTTATTCCATCACACCCCAAAGCCAAAAATGGTGAAATTTTGACTCCATCNAGTTAAATCCCACAAGAGTAGGGTCTGGGGAGGGTGTGTGTACGCAGACCTTGCCCCTACTCGAAAGTAGAGAGGCTGTTTCCAAAGAGACCCCCGGCTCAACATCGAAAGTTGCAGTGTTTGACTAACTGCTACTTCATTAATTAAAGAAGCGCAGATAGTTTAGAGATCCATTTTGATTTATTCCATCACACCCCAAAGCCAAAAATGGTGAAATTTTGACTCCATCGGAGATGATGGAAAAGTAATATGAGATTCTAAATTTTTATAAAATATATCCACATATAGATGTAGATATCAATGAACAAAGTGTTATTCTGGAGACCGTGATTGCTCAAACGGGAAGAACAGAGGCAATGTTTTCGAAATGCAAAATCAATGGAGATTACTGCTTCAATTTTGAAGGAAGTATTGTTTCAAAGAATAATGCTTCCTCCTTTGTTTTGGTTAAGTATGTGGGTATAATTATCCAATAAAGTTAGTGGTACACTAAGTGTGTAACATATTAACACAGACAAATAAGATAGTACAGACACAATCCATTAGTGATCTACAAACACATAGTATTTGTGTTTGTTTGGTGTATAAATGAGATACATCATTTTGGTATATCTCTAGCATGGTCTATAATTTTCAAACTCATGATGATTAATGTTAGGGACATTCAAAGTTGTACTCTAGCATTCATCCAACCACACATTTTTATTCATTCCTCTAATTTTGTAATAGCACTTAAAAGTTTATTGGGGAGAGGGTTTTGGGGTATAAATTAGGGTACAACTTGGTGTACCGAAGTATTTTTGAAGTCTTGAATCTTGAGTCTCGCATGAGGAGCTCAACTGATCGAAAGAGAGGATATCGAGCTCGTTGATCTAAGGGTCGAATCTCAGCATCGACAGTGTGAAAGTTTTATACTCCTTGTGTGCATCGGGCACGAAATGACCTCTCTAAGGACCAGATTGAGATTATACCATGATTTAGGCTTCTCACAATTCTGTCAGGTCAGGGTGTGGGAATGCCCGTAGTGGACGTTCCACTTTTTTAAAATCTTGGTAGCTGCTGAAATTATTGTACGATATGGATTAGTAAAGTGCCCCACTTGATTATTACGGAGTACTTAATTTTATTGTCTTTGAACTTGCTATGGAGTGTTTTATTTCAGTTTTTCACAAACAATTTTTACTTTAATTTCTCTCTTCTTAGGAGATGATAAAAATTAAAATAAAAATTGTTTGTAAAAAAAGGTAAAAGTGACATGTCCGTTATTATGAACCAACGTGGCCGATCTAGGAATATGACATGCGCACAAGTAGGGTCGGGGTTTGGAGGTAGCACCCCTGTTTTTTCCAAAAGCAATTTAAAATTATGATGAAAAAAAGAAAATTTTTTATACTTAGGAATCATTTACTACCTCCGTCCCACTCTCTTTGTCCACATTTAACTTTTGGAACTGTTCATCTAAGCACTTTGACTCATCAAATTCTCTCAATATGTAAGCCTAAATACAGTCATATGTGTGATCTTGTTTGATTTGTCTTAACATGTAGATTATTAATATATAATTTCTATAATTTTTTAATATACAAATTACAAGATAAAATGGAATAAAGAAGTGCATTGGATGGTGTGCAAAAAGGTAAGTGGACAAAGACAGTGGGACGGAGGGAGTAATTTTTTTCTAAACTAATACTCCTTCAATACTAGAAAAATCTTCTTCTATTTCTTTGTCAAACTTTGACTGTCTTTAACTACAAAGTATGCATAATATAATAAATAAATGTTATAAAAATTTGATATATCAAAACTATATTCTAAAATTAATGTAATTATAGAAAAATTTACATAATAATAAAAAGAAATTCCTTTTTCATAATTTGTTGTAAAAAAGTGTCATAATTTGAGATAAAAAATTAAAACAAGAGTTGTATGCAAAGGGTGGTGATAGAACCAAATCTTCTCATTAAAGTTAGTATTGGTTTTGTGTTTATAAAAAACAGATAGATATTAATTTTTTGAGTTTAATATATTTTTGATCCTTGTAAAAAAAATTTCATTAAATTATCCTAAGATCCTTACAATTTTTTATTTTTAAAATGGTTTTAAATTTTTTTAATTTTGAAGTCAAAATTTACTAATTTTGACAAAAAAAAAAAAGAGTTACTCCTTAAAAGTAAGCAAATTATGGAGGGAGTATTTAACTATATTCCGTCCTATACTCCTATCAAAAGTTGGATTAGAATTGGAGTATCCATCCAAATATATACTCCTCCGTATTACTCCTCCGCAAAATAAGAAGGAATTAGATCGGGAATAGCTGAACGGAAAAGAGACCTCTCCCGACCGCCGCGCCACCACCGCCTTTCGGCAATCAACTGGAGGAAGTGGAAAAGCCTAGTGGCCGTTCTCGGTACGCGCCCCGACCGCCCGACCGCCTGCACGCCGCCACAGCGAAACATCACCTGTCACCGGCAAAGGAATTGTGTAAGGTTAGTAAATAAAAGTCATTTGGAATTGTGTAATTTTTACTGCAAATTTTTATGGCATGTGAATGTTTATGCAAATTTTTACGACATTTATCGTTTCTCAGACATACTTTGTGACATGTGTAATTTTTACTCCAAATTTCCCTAAATTTATCGATATATTTTTTGTGAATCGTTATAACAACAAAAAACTATACACAAGATTGCTCTTCACACAGTACAGACAATGTTTTTATTTTCAAACAATGAATATGACTATGGATACAAGTTTCTATGCAAGTTATCTTACACTTCTTATCCTCAATCAAATTTATAGGGATAAAGCTACTTATACCCCAACTTTTGTACCCCACTTTGTACCCCGCAAGTTTGCACCGACACTTTATGTTGGTGTAAAACTAATTTTTGTTAATGCACCAACATTTTGTGTCCGTGTAAATTTTTGTTAACGCACAAACACTTGTGTCGGTGTAAACCATCAAAATGTTTGTGTATAACTGCGGTGTACAAATGGGGTACAATTTGTGGTGTAAGTGTAGCATGACCCAATTTATAGATCTGATTTTAGTTATGGATAATTTACCTAAATAAGACTAAAAGTCTAAAACATAATGACTTTCTCAATAGAGGACCATATATTTTTATTTTTCAAAATAGGACCATTAGTCTTTATTTATTAGTCATTATTCAACTAAATGTCTAGTATCAATTGGACATTATTTTCTCACTAGTCATTATTAAGTCTTACTTAGGGAATAAAAAAGTTCAAGTTCTACATTGAGAAATGACTTATGTTTTAGTCCTATTCAGTGCAAATTTCACTTTTTTTTCAAACAATGAATATGACTATGGATACAAGTTTCTATGCAAGTTATCTACACTTCTTATCCTCAATCAAATTTATAGATCTGATTTTAGTTATTCACTTTTTAAAAAATCTCAGTTCAAAAAAGCGAGGTGAAAATGTCAAATAGTACCATCTGTTTTTTCTTATGTAAAATTTATGTTTAAAATTCTTCAATTGCACAGGACCAACCTTAGCTTGATTAATGGTTATGATGAGGATTACAGAAAAGAAGCAGCAAGTTGAAAGAGATGTATTGTTGCTGCCTGAGGACATGATGATGCTCATACTATCAAAGCTTCCTCGAAAATCCCTTATTCGTTTCAAGTGCGTCTCGAGAGCGTGGTTCCACTTGATATGCACAGTGTTCAGACAATATTACCCCAACAAGTCTTCGCCTTGCCATTTGATGATAGTATCTCAACATCAACAAAGTCACCGCATCCACCGCTTCTCTCTTATCCATCTCCCCAAGGAGGCGAAAGAAGAGACTTCTTTGCCGCCATTGCCCGATGTCTTTGACCTCAAACTTCCATTCTTCCTCTGCCGTCCACATCCTGGCAAGAAAATCCTCTCTTCCAATGGCCTCGTGTGTTTTTTCTTCAACGAAGACGTCCGTAACTATGCCTTCAATCCCATCACACGCCACATCCTTAAACTTCCACACATTCCATACCACACTTGCAATGCGTCTTTCAATGCGGGGTTCGGGTACCTACCCCGGAGAGACGAGCACAAGATCGTGGTGTGGTTTGTTCGGGACGACTTGAAAATGTCACACGCAGCATGGGGATGTTGGGTTCTCAGTTTGAAGAAAAGTATCAATGGAACAATCACAGTGGTGGAATCTTGGAGAAGACTAGCAGTGGACTTGCCACCCGATGCAGCCTCGTTCTCGGACTCCTTTTGCGTGAATGGCACCATATATTGGCTATGTAGTTACGCCAATGAGGGGACGTCACGGAAACAACATTTGTTGCTTTCGTTTGATTTGGATGAGGAAGCATTCCAGCTTAGGCCTCGCCCGTCTTTCCCATTAACTGCAAAGATGGTCGAGATTGAAGGTTCCTTGTGTGTTGGAGAGTTGGGGTTCTGCGACGGTCATTACTTCGTCCTGTGGGAATTTAAAAATGGTGACTACTGGGTGGTGAAACACGAGGTTAACGACTTTTTTGGTCTTGGTCATCGTCGTCGCCGTTTGTCATTTCTTGCTTGTACGCGATCCAAAAGCGGTGCGAGGCAACTTGCTTTCATGGGGGATGACGACCGTGGTCATGGGAGGAGGCTACTTTCTTACAACCTCCAATCACAAATTCTCCAAAGGTCATCTGAAAATCTGCAACCGCTCCTGGGTGACGATGGCCTATATTTTCTCTTTTAATTCTCATCCCTTTATCTTATATTGTGTGCACTAGAGCCTCTTGAGTTGTCTATCTTTTGTTATACAGATACTCTCCCCCCCACCCCTCCTTTTGAACTTCATGTTCCACAGGATGTGTGTGTGTTCAACGAAACACAAACAGGAGATGTAAGGGGAAAGAAAAAATTATATTCCATCCGTCCCGAAAAGATTGTAATTTTTTTTCTCCTCTCCATAAGTTTTGTTTATTTGTGTGTTTTCATTAAGTATTTGATAAAATAAAATATTCTTATCACATTTGTTTCGTAGAACTTTTAACGTAGTCTTTTAATATGTAATTTTTGTTTCTTATTGATTTACCAATTTGTAAATAAGATAATTTCAAAAGGCGAGAGATTTTGTCTCGTAACTCCCAATTTCTAATCAAATTAGGAATGGAGGGAGCATAAACCAAATGGAATACGCAAAGTACAAATCATATATATCATTTTTATATTTTAAATCCTAAGACGTTTTTTAGAGATATAAATTAATATAAAGAATTTAAATAATGCTTAAGTTAAAAAAAAGTAAGATAATTATGCAATTTTATTAAAATTTTGTTTGAAAATATAAATTTATACATTAAAAACGAGTAGTAAAGTGTATGATTTTGAAAAAATATTACTTTACGGGTCGGTCGGGTCGGGTTTGACTCATTTTGAGCGAGTCATTTTGGGTTTGGTCAATTTCGGGTTTGGTAATCAAAATCTTTGTTTAAAATCCAATATTTTAAAGTCAGGTTTCGGGTTAAAAATAGGATTTTTTGCTAGGTCTACTTTTTCATACCCTACCAGCCTAATACTTTTTATTCAATAATTAATAATTCATCACATTTTATTTTTACTTATCACAATAAAGACAAAGTTGTACTACCTCCATCCCAAATTATTTGTCACATTTCTATTATCGAGGCAAAATATCAAGTTTTTTCAATTCATTTTATTTACATATTGGTAAAGAAATAAAAAATAAAAATTACATATCAAAAAACTACATGAAAAGTCTTTGAAATAGGAGGTGTCAAGAATATTTTATTTTATCAAATAACCAATGAAAACATTGAAATAAACAAAAGTTCCCGCGACTATTGAAAAAAGCAAATGTGGCAAATAATTTGGGACGAGGAAAGTATGTTAACTCTAAGTTAAAACTTCTTTATTTTTATATTTGGTCAAAATTGAAACCTTTTCTAGAAGGGAGGGAGTAAAAGATATTGGACATTAATCACATTATAATTTGGACCTATCCGTACCCAAATTGACAAGAGGCTTCTTGAATCCAATACAGGGAGTTGTAAAAAAACAACAAAAATTGAGAGTCAAACATGATTACAAAATTCATATATGAATATGATGAGCAGTAAAGAAGTTTACAGTAAAAATGGGAATAGGGAGCAAAAATCATAATCCTCCCCCTCTGTTTACAAAGAGAAATTCTTCCAAAGGAATTGAATTGAATGTAAAGAATGAATATAAAAAATGCTCGGACAAGAAAGGAAGAAAGAAGTGGGGAAATGCTTGGCCTGATGGATGGAAGACGACAGAATCTATTCTGTGATTGGATTGATTTGATTCTGCCCATGGGATGAATGAATCTGAATCATTCGTCGTCATTCGCATGACCACCTATCGCCCTAGTGAGGTAAGTGGTTATCTTCCGGGGAACGTGAAGCTTTGGCCCCGGGATAATAGGAAGCGGCGGCGGCTGCCGATGTGGGGCGGCAGCTCGTGGAGTCGGCATGAAGATTGTCTCACCGGCCGCCATGAATGCCGGCGGCGGCGGCGGCGTCAGAACAGGCAAAAACAACATCTTTTCGCCTGGGATTGGGCTCCTGTACGGGTCTTCAGCCATGGGAATAAGACCCTATATACATACATTTTCAAACAGGAAGCAAATTAATACCCTCAATTGAACTTGAACAAACAAAGAAAGGATTAATTGTTTCAAAAAAAAAAAAAAGAAAGAAAAAGAAAGGATTAATAGATAAATACCCTACCATCTCTGCTCGTGCTTGCAATTGGGCCCGCCTAAAGCCGTCGGAATCAAGAAACCGTGTCATAGCCACCGCAAGTTTATCCAGAGGCGTATTTCTGAGAATTTCTTCCACCTCCTCGTCGCTGAATCGCATTGCGCTGATCACGCTTACTGCAAAAACACCAGAGTGCTTCACTATGTATCTCACTTGTGGAATGGTAAATGGTACGAGGCGCCGCTCAAGCTCCGCCGCAGGTGGGCTCCCGCCGCCGCCCGGCGCCGTCGCCTCCTCCACCTGGAAGTATTCCGGGTTGGCTTCCGCAAGGCGGTCCCATATGTAGCCTGTTATGAACTCCTGCTCGGCCTGCAGGGCATGGTTGACGACGCTGGCTTTCTCCGTCACCCCATGGCGGAGGTATTCTTCCACCTTACATCTTCCACGTCCTCCCGCGTCACACTCCTTTTCTCCATCGCTTTCTTGATTTCACCACCGCTGGCTTGGCTTCTTGATTAGGGACGGAAGCCAATTCTTGATTTTCACTGATTTCAATTTTATTTATCAATCATCCCGTCCTGACCTTGCCGGACGGAGTACACACACATATACACACACACACACACACACGAGTATATAACATACCCCTGCCGAACAGAAAATTTCTCCGCTTTGACCCAAGTCCAATCACTATCTCATTTCTCCCTCCCATTTTTAAGCCTCTTTCTTTTTCTTTTGTGCACCAAAATTTGTACACTCAAATCTATACTCTATTTTTTTTTATCACAAAAGCTTGTATATACTCTCTTCGTCCCTAAATATTTGCCACATTTGTATTTCTGAGGTAAAATATCAAGTTTTTTCAATTCATATTTTATTTACATATTAGTATAGAAATAAAAAATAAAATTTACATATCAAAAAATTACATGAAAAGTTCTTCGAAATAAGAGGTGTCAAGAATATTTTATTTTATCAAATAACCAGTGAAAACGTAGAAATAAACAAAAGTTCCCGCAACTGCTCAAAAAGCAAACGTTGCAAATAATTTGAGATGGAGGGAGTACATTTTATGCTAGTATGATAGTTTACATTGATAAAAAATATCGGTACAATTCTTTTTAAATGAACTAACATTTTGTTTCAGGTCTACCCCTAGCATGATTGTTTTCTTTTTTCTTTCTATTTCGTCATCTTTGTACGGAGTAAAAGTTAATATTGATATTATAGAAAAATCATATTCCCTCGTCCCTATTCTGATTACTAGGGATGGCAACGGGTCGGGTTCGGGTCAGATAGTACTATACTCGAACCTGACATTTCAACTCGAAACTCGAACCCGACCCGAACCCGACTTTTAACTAATAATTAATTTAACGTACCCCAATAATTTTGAAAAGATTTGGCCTTGTTTGGATACTGGCAGTTGGCTGTTTATGTTGGCTGGTTTGAATGACTGATTGAGTTAGCTGTTTTGACTGACTGTTTCTGTTGGCTGTTAAATTTTAAGTGTTTGGCACCTTTAGCTGTTTATAGTTAGATGTTTGTAAGTAAAATTACATAAAAGGACATCCTTCCATTTATGTTAATTTGTATATAATTTTTAATTTTTCTTTAATTTTCATAAAATACGCACATTATACAAGCAAATACTCTGGACATCCCTACATCTTTTTTTGGACAAAAAAGGCTACTACATTTTTTTTTATAATTTAAGAAATGAAAATTTACATTTATATTTTATACGGAATACTCCGTAGTTTCTTTATCCCCAGCACATTCAAATAAACTACAACCAAATATGAAGAGTCTGCACCAAATATGAAGAATCTGCGCCAACACATTCAAACAAACTACAACCAAAAATTTGGTTTTTTTCTATGGTTTTACAACAATTATATACGAAGTAAAAGATGAATTGTATGATCCTTGGTTAGAGGAATTTTGCCCGGGAGGTTAATTCCAAAGAAGAAAAAGTCAAAACCCACTAAAACAAAATATAAATTAATTTTAGAAACAAAGAAGGGTGATTTAGGGTTTTAAAATTTTTCTCAAATCAAGAAAGGCCCATGGGATAAAACAGCAGAGAAGCATAATTCCCCACCATGGTTGATGCTTCGTTTTTGGAAGAACAATTGGAGTCAAAATTTTTTTGATGGTTCTACAACAATTAGATGTAAAAAACAAAATTGCAGATTTGCAGAGAAGCCTAAAGGGTAAGAACGGAAAAAATTTGCCAACTGCTGCATGAAACGCTCCTATGGTTGGCTTTTCATTTTTTGGCAGTTCAGTTTTAAATGCTAAATCCAAATGCCATTACCCAAACAATGAATTTGGCGGTTTGACTAGTCCAATCAGCCATTTATGGTCAAAGATGCCAAATGCCAGCTGAACCGCCATTTACCAAACAGGGCCTAAATCTAATTTTTTTGTGTCTCTTTTTTTATATCTCATTTTTTATTAAGGAATTATAAAAATGATTATAAAATGCATATTTGATACGGAGTATAGTAATCCCTGCGTCCCACAAAAAAGTTCTCATTCTGATCATAAATTTGTCAAATTGTTGCACACTTTGACCTTAAATTAAATATAATCTAAATAAAGAAATGCTAAAAAAAATTGAGATATCAAAACTAGATCCTAAGATGATTCCAATTATATAAAATTTATTTCATAATTCAATATACATTTCTCACAATTTGTAGTCAAAACGTGTAATTATTTGATTAAATACTATTCAAAATGGGAACTTTTTTGTGGGACGGAAGAAGTAGCACTTTGTCAAGAGATTATATGGAGTGCTCATTATATCCATAGATAGACTTTTATGTAATAAAATATTCGGGTTTTAGTCGGGTCAGGTTTGGGTTCGGGTCGGGTCGGGTAAAATTACAAATCCACACCCGACCCGACCCGATGTCGGGTTCGAGTAAAAAATTTCGGGTCAGGTTTGGATTATTTTATTTTCGGTTCGGGTTCGAATATTTTAATAGTCGGTCGGGTCGGTTAAGTTCGGGTTCGGATTGAATTGCCATCCCTACTGATTACAAAATGAAAATTATTTTTTTTCAAAGCCATTGAAATAATTTGATGTGTGTATCTATAAATATTCCTTCATATCAAAACTGGACTTGACTTGAGGATCCGCCCAACATCTCTATTCCCGTTCGTCTAGAATTCGGAACACTGTATAAAGGAATAGAGAACGACCAACCTTAGACCAAATCACCGTTCGTTCGCCCCGCAGCTGCGCTATACCGCTGCAATCCGATTCGGATCTTGCGTCATATTTTATCCAAAGAGGTTAGTACATAAAAGTAATTTGGGATATAAATATTTGATTCGTTTTGCATTTAGTTTAATATTGTGAATTCGATAAATTGCTGTATTTCATTTTTGATTTGTAGTGTGGTAATGGAAATACCGAAATAGTGCTATTAATTTTTTCTGATTTATGAATTAGGGTGCAGAGATATTACAAAAACCAACTGAGATTTAAATCAACCTTTGTACTCCGGTAACAAGTAGTTCCTTATCTTGGATGCTTTAACAATGAGTTGAGGGATGAACAAAGCTTTGAATTTGAATGTTCAGAAGGCAATTTCAGAAATCACTTCCACTGCCATAATAATTTTATAAATCGTGGAAATGAAAAAAAGGAGGGAGTATTTTGCCACGAAATCACATCTAGGCGGCCGGTGTGTTTATCCTTTTTACTCGTGTTTTGTAGATCAGAAAACAAGGCGAAGGCCGACCAGTTAGCAGCATTATAATCGGATTGGAATAAGCATAAAAAGTTATGATCAGATGAGCATCACAAGTTCGATCTAGACTGGAATCATGAGAACCAACAACAACAATATTAACAACTTCAGGTGGTGGTCGTGTGATCATAGGTACCTTCTCATCGTAGCTGCCCTGACCTTTATCTACATTCAGGTCTTGTTTCTGTTCTCCTTTCTCCTCAGCCCTAATTTCCCCCTTCCACTGCCATAATAATTACTTCTTCCTTCATTTTCTTATGTTTCAACTCGAATTCATTATGATGTAGTATGCAATCTTTTTTCATTTCCATGATTTGGGAGCTATTTTTGCTGTTTAAATTGCATTTCTCTTTCTCTAGTGTTCTGAGAATTCCCCCATCCCCCGCTACTAAGTTGCAATGTCGAATTTCAGTAAATTTCCTTTAGCCATCTTTAAGAATAATACTCCATAGCTCATAGTGTGATATTCTTTCCTCCCTCAGATGCGGCTTTTTGCAACACAATCTCAACATGCTGATCGGCTTGCAGCCGCAGTACGTCTTTCCTGCTTTTTGTTGCTCCTTTATGTTCTTGAAATCACATACATTCACATGATTTGTTCAAAGTTAGATTTTTGCTGCCCCTAACATGGATTCTCGTAGATAGATGCAGAAAACCATTGCACAGGTCAGATGCGATCGCTCATTGACCAGATTAGTCTGCAGCAAGGACGAATTACAGCGCTTGAAAGTCAGTACTTCTTTCTCCCTTTTGCTGGCTCAGTGTTGCAAACTTTACTTCTTTCTCTTTACCTTTTCATTTTTCATTCCATTTCCATTGGTTCTCTGCACTCAAATCATGACTTGTGTACGTACTAATTTGATTAGAACTGTTTTTTCTTGTCGGATTTTGGATATTTAACTCTTGCTCTCTTTCTGTCATATTCTAGATTTCCAAATTATACCAATAAAAAGCTCAGTGATTTATATTAACACTCATATCAGTTATCATACTTGGCAAGAAGAAGACAAACTGTATACACAATAAACATATTCTGAGCTGTTTTATGTTTCTAGACCCAGTCCCCGGGAAACATATACAGAGTTTTACAGATAACACCCATTTACTAAATTGTATGCCATTTTTTCTATATAGGAAACATGTATATTAGCCAACTATCCGTTTTTATCACACACTTATGCCATGCTTTATTTTACAGAGGATATGAAGCGTCAAAGTCAAGAATGCCAACACCTAAGAACTCTTGTTCAAGACCTCGAGGGTATGTGATTTTATACATTTGCTGTTTCAAGAGACTGTCTCGTTGACAAGAAATACAAATACTCCATCCGTCCCAAACAGAAGAACGTCATTGTTCACTAACTATTTATTGGTCAAACTTTATCATCTTTTTTTGCCTATTTTCATTGATCATTTGACAAAATAATATCATCATTTCAAATGTTGTTTTGTAGATCTTTTGATGTAGTTTTAAGAATACATTAAGTTTATTTCTACACCAATTTAAATAAATTGAATTGAAAGTAATGTTAGTCAAGCTTTGTTATCCTTAAAGTGATATTCTTTAAGGGATGGATTAAGTATTTGTTTACTACTTTCATCCTTCATTACATTTATAACTGTCACAATATAGGTTATAAAATGCAAGTTCCAAGACTACGTTGCATTGTCTACACTGAATAGCCTCTTATATAGAATAAACCTTTTTATTCTGAAAGTGTGTTTTTCATGTACCAGGTAAGGGCATGCAGAAGTTGATAAGCAATACCCAGGTTACATAAATTTGATGTTTCTCATTTATCATTTGTTTGAATTATTTTCAAGCATTTCCGCTGCAAAAATTTTATGTTATGTAATACATACTCATCTTTATGACTACATTAGCCAGGCTCCAGTAGCAGCTGTTGTTGTCATGGCTTGTAGTCGTGCTGACTACCTCAAAAAGACTATTCAGTCTATTCTAAAGTATGTTGTACATCTTATATCTTCGTGAGTAGTTTTAGTTGAAATTTGTACTTTTGAACTGATACATGTTATTTATTTGTATACATCAGATATCAAACTTCTGTTGCTTTGAAATTTCCAATTTTCATATCCCAGGTAATCACTGATTTGCTGCCAATTATACTTCCCTTGATTATATTATATGATCATATTTTTACAACACCAATTCTTTATTATCCATCTGTTTGCACATTGCAGGATGGTTCACATCCTGATGTTAAAAGGCTAGCTTTGAGCTATGATCAGTTGACGTATATGCAGGTAATGGGGTATTTTCCTTAAAAAAGGGATAAAAAGGGGACTTGTCAAGTGGGTTCTCTGTAGAAATTCATTAGGAAAGAGAGAGCAAGACAAATCAAGCCCACATGTCAGGGATTTCTACAGAATATTGAACAAAATAAGATATGTGTGGCAACTGGCAAGGGAGGAGGGGTTTTTTTGGGGGGGGGAGGGGCTTCCAAAAAAGGGAGTTAGTCTATTCGGCTGAGTTGAGTATGGTATTATAACTCCCTCTGTCCCTTTTTATTTCTCCCGTTTCGGCTTACGATGCATTGACTTAACTTACTTTCATTATACAGAGTATTTAATTATTGGTGTAAAATTAAAATTTGTATATTTTAAAACTACATCAAAAGCTCTATAAAACTTGTGGTGGCTTAACTGTCTTAATTTAACCATAGTTTGTAAGGCGGTAAGGCGAGGCAAGGCGCCAATATACCTTCATACTGCCTAGGCGACGCCTAGGCGAGTTATACACACACACACACACACACACACATACATACATACATACATACATACACACACACACACACACACACACACACACACACACATATATATATAGGCCACAACATACCACAATATTATAAATAATAAGGCACAACATATGAAATAAAAGTCCACACATAATCTGAAAAAGAAAGAAGGGTTCAATTCAAAACAAAAACACAATTCAAAACAAGTTCATCTCCATCCCTCTGGTTTAATGAACCAAACATGCATGTCTAAATATTATCATTGAATAGTTCATTCAAATGGATATCATTATCTGTGTCAGTGTGTCCATAGATTCATCCTGGACAGTAGATAAATCAACACCATAGTCATCCTCAATTTGCTCATCATCATTTGGAAATGGTTCAACTTCAGTCTCTGGGCTGCACTAAAAGGATGGGCTGAACTAAAAAAATAGGCTGCACTAAAAAAAATTGGGCTTTTCATAATTTTGAAGTGACCCAAGGCGTCTAGGCGAGAAAGGCGACATAAGGCGAGGTAAGGCGACGCCTAGGCAAGCGCCTGACCGCCTGAGGGTTTTCTGGGCGAGGCGAGCAACCAAGGTGAGCAAAACATAACGCCTTAGCGCCTAGGCGACGCCTTAACAACTATGAATTTAACAAATGGTTAAAAAAAAGGCAAAGAAAGAGGATATGATTTTGATTATTTAAAAGTGACAATAACAACAAAACCCCAGTAAAAGATATGCCATTTTTGTTAGGCCCTAAATGCATTGTTGCATTTACTGGCCAAAACTTCATAGAAAGTAAGAAGCAAAGGAAGTTTAACGAGTCATTTTGATTTATCCCATTGTGTGCCCAAACTAAAACATTGTCAATAATGAATTTTTTAGCTCCATTGCAATAAAGGAACAGTCATTTTGATAGCACACTAGCCAGCTACACCATAACTTTACTTTTATGTTTCCCTGTGTATTGCATTTCATTTCCCAGCTCAAAGATTATCACTGCTATTGCTATCAAAAGGAATGAACCATCTCACAATTTTTTTGACACAGCACTTGGATTATGAACCTGTACACACAGAAAGACCTGGAGAAATTATTGCATATTACAAGATTGCACGTAAGGGGTTTAGTCATTCTTATTGCAAATAATGTCCCCAACCCCCTACTCTCAAATGTAATAGTTACTAAATTACTGGTGTCTGCCTAGGTCATTACAAGTGGGCATTGGATCAGCTCTTTTACAAGCATAATTTTAGCCGTGTTATCATACTGGAAGGTATAATTGCTAATTTGCTATAGAATGTCTTACATAGTCTGTGACATTTCCTTGCGCTTACATGTACTGTATACACATTTCCATGGTATGCAGATGATATGGAAATTGCCATTGACTTTTTTGACTATTTTGAGGCTGGTGCCATTCTTCTTGACAGCGACAAGTAGGACATTGTTCATGCTTTCAAGTCAGTATCATATTGAGCATTCATTAATAGAATTAAGATTCTCAATGTGGTTCTGCACTTTCACTTACTGCGGTGTTTTAGGTCAATTATGGCTATTTCTTCGTGGAATGACAACGGGCAAAAACAGTTTGTTAAAGATCCTTGTAAGTTTTTTCCCCTTCTTGGAAGTTGAGTCATATCTTACTTTGTCACTACATTATTCCTTTCTTCAGTTTCATGCGACCAGGGTTTGTCTTCGCATGTTACTACGCATATGCAAATTTGAATTGACTGATCTTTTCATTGTTATCGTTTACTTGTGTAGTTATTTTCCTCATCAAATATGTTTCTTTGCCATATTCTGAGCATTTTCATCAACTGTTGCAACCTCTCATATATGATCTCCTTTGTGTTTGAGTGTTCCCGTGGCCTTTCTCTCAAGTTCCAAGTAAAAAATTTATTTATATGTTTCCTTATCCCATCCATTTCAAGTGAAAACATCTCATATGTTGGCTGGTATATGGTTTTTGAGGTGTTCAATTCTGTATGTTACCCCTGCTGGACTCTTTAAAACAACTCAGTTAACCAGTTCCATAAGTGTATGCTTATGACTTGAAACCAGTTCTATCATGTTCAGAAAATGGTTTTCATCGACAGGACATTCCTACATTTCCTTACTATTTTAACTGAAAGATTATCCTGCTATTTTCCGTATTAACTGGTATGTCCACAATATTCCCTGCAGATGCACTTTTCCGTTCAGACTTTTTCCCTGGTCTTGGGTGGATGCTCTCAAAGTCTACATGGGATGAATTATCTCCCAAATGGCCAAAGGCATATCCTTTTTGGGATGAAGCATTTATTTTTTGAAAAATTAATGAACTATGTTTTCTTTTGAATCCTCAAGCATTTTTCTTTAACCTAATTTTCACTTATTGGGATGATTGGTTGAGACTGAAAGAGAACCACAAAGGTCGTCAATTTGTTCGCCCGGAAATTTGCAGAACATACAATTTTGGGGAGCATGTAAGTCTATAGTAACAATTTTCTATATTTCCCACCAGGTATTCTCTAGGTTTAAGGTTCTACAAACACAATCAAGCTTTCTATAGTAAGTTGCTGTATCAAGAGGGGACTTTAGGAAAGGCAGAGTTGACAGTGTTGGTTCGCACACATTTGGCATCAAGATTCAAGAGGCATGTGACCTAATTACCTAGTACAAAGAGAGGGAGTCTGAAATGCTATGTACTTGAGGAGTTTTGGTAGACTTAAAATGACATGGATAGAAGGTGTAAAAGAACATTTGTCTGTCAAGGTTTGAAGGTTTCATGAGGAAACACTTCCACTTGAGTTGATAAGATTAATGTTTACGGTGGGCGGAGCATAATGAATTATCCTAATTATGTTTTCAAACTTTTAACATTTTCCAAAAATATCCCAAATTTCCCATTTGACGAGGGTCTTCACAGAAATACCCCCTCTATTCTTAGTGGTAGATGTAAGGTTTGCGTAGATCTCAACCTCCACAAATCCAACTTCTGGGCAAATTGGGTGTGCTTGGTTTGGATTGGTTTGGTTTATAATTAGATTGAGAACATTTAGTTATACACTTCTAGATCACACTAACCATTATCCTCAAATATGTCTTGGACATTTGCGTGCACATACATGATGGTAATCTTGCAGGGTTCTAGCTTGGGGCAATTTTTCAATCAGTATCTTGCACCAATTAAGCTGAATGATGTCCAGGCATGTCGGCACCTGCTTCCAATGTTTTGTCATTCTGATTACTTCCATCTGTGTTAACATTCGTATTTGATTTTTTATTGCAAGGTTGACTGGAAGTCAATGGATTTGAGCTACCTCATGGAGGTGAGAACTGGAGGGCTTAACTTTAAAAAAAACATAATTAAGTTTTCAGTGTTATTTCCTTACCATAAAGAAAAAAACTGAACGTTTTCCTCAGGAAAAATATCTGAACCATTTTGCTGAAATGGTTAAAAAAGCTGAACTGATACATGGAGCCGATGTTGCTCTGAAAGCAAATAATATGAGCGGTGATGTGTGTATTCAGTATAGAGATCAGCTACATTTTGAAGAGATTGCACGCCAGTTTGGCATATTTGAAGAATGGAAGGTAAAAAACATCTGTGTATGCCTTTTTTTTACTTTGATTTTTTATTAAAACATTGTTGAGGAATATATATAAAATTTTAAACATGTTTAAACCCCTGGTTCGACTAGTGAACAAGTGAACCAGTCCTTTGACCGGTCCGGCTCTGGAAACTATGCATGAGCCAATATATTTTTCATGAATTTGACTGCTTTGTGGGTGTCAATGTAATTTCACCAGGATGGTGTTCCAAGGACGGCATATAAGGGGGTCGTGGTTTTCCGCTACCAAACCTCAAGGCGTGTATTCCTTGTTGGTCCCAATTCTTTTCAACTGCTTGGGTTATAGAGCATGATTAACTGATATCAAGTACAAGGTTTGGTTGCTTGGTAAGCTCTCTTTATTACCCTTTTTCCCTTTTAAAAATTTAACTGCTTGTGAAATGGACAAGTATAACCTTTTTCCTTATTCAACAATATAACTGGCATGCATGCCTTTAAGAAGTCTCCTCACAGTATTTGTCATTTCATACTCAGTATTCTGGGAAACTGTGACAACCCCCCCCCATTTGCATTTAGGTTGGGTTCTACTACTATGTGTAATACATATGTTTATCTGTCATAACTGAGCTCTGCTACTCCGTATATTTTCTGTTGTTGGCTTTGGAGTTTGATAAATATATATACTTTCACTTCTTTATTTTTCATATATGGTATAGTATATTACCTTGGGGGTATTAATAATTAATTCGGTGTGGGCGTGGTGACCGGGTAGGTGTGAGAATAGTCTCCGAAAGAGATTGGAGATTTTAGTAATTGAAAGAGATTTAAGATTTTAGAAACCGTTTGTTTGGACGAATTGATATGAACGGATTGAATGATTTGCTATGATATTTAAAATTTGTCATTTATTCGTTTTTTTATGATACTATTGCGTTATTTGTCATTACGATTTAGCTTTAAAACATGAGTATTTTTCATTTTTCCGTTCAAACGACTTCTAACTCTAATTATTTTTCATAATTAAGTACTTCGGTTGTGGTTTCTCAACAACAAAAAAAAGTACTCTGTTCTTCGGTTGGATAGCGTAACTAAAATAAACCAATGTGTAAAACTAATGAAGATGACTACAACAAAGAAGCAACACATTGAAAATGATGTTTTGTTGCCACATGAAGACATAATGATGCTTATACTATCAAAGCCTCCTGGAAAATCCCTTCTTCGATTCAAGTGCGTCTCCAAAGAATGGTTCCATTTGATACACGTAGTATGCAACCGGTATTATCCCAAAAAGTCGTTGCCTTGCCAGTTGGTGATAGTATGTCGACATCAACAGCAACAACGCACTAGCGTCCGCTGCTTTTCTGTTATCCATCTCTCAAAGATGGAGGAAGAAACTTCTTTGTTGCCTCTGCACGATGTCTTTGACCTTAAACTACCATTCTTCCTCTGCCAGCAACATGCTGCTAAGAAAATCCTCTTTTCCAATGGCCTCGTATGCTTTTTCTTTAAGGAAGACATCCGTAACTGTGCGTTTAGTCCCACCACACGATACATCCTTAAACTTCCTTACTTTCCGGGGCACATTTGCAATGTGTCTCTCAATGTGGGTTTTGGATACCAACCCCAGAGAGACAAGCACAAGATCAGGGCGTGGTATGCTCAGGACGCCAAAATCAAGAAACGTTGGCGGAAATTCAAGAAACATTCTCCCGTGGCGAGAATGGTCACTGTGGAAGAGGTTAAGGATAGGATAATGATGATTGCGCGCTGCATGAGGAAGAAGATGACTTGGGAAGTTGTGGTAGAACTCGAGGTTGAGAATGGGGAAGAAGAAAAGGTTATACGATACCTGTGGGACCTTGTGAGAGAAGACAACACAGAGTACTTCCGCCAGTGTGAGGCGGCGGCGGCTGTAGTCCTCAAGTGGCCCGGATCCGGACAGAGTTGGCACCCTTCACCATAGGGCAAACACGTTTCTTTATCCAATATTCCGGAGTATTCACGGAGGCAGGTGTTGTCGTCCCCCAAAGACATTCAGAGCTCTTTGGATTTCACAGGAGAAGTTGTCGGGAATGTTCTCTATAACACCGATCCTGATGACCTGGCAGTGGCTTTGGACAATTATCTCGTTTTGAACTACCAGCAGCATGAACTACAACTTGAAAGGGTACAAATATGGCTAGCTTTGTTTATTCCATCTACGACATCTAAGTATTGGATTATTGGTTTGCAACTTTCTGTTGTGATTTTGGGTGGCAAGATTTGATTTTTATTTGGTTAATTCAAACTGTGTGATTTTTTAAATTGTGTCCATCATCCATCAATCTTCAGCTCTTCTTTTGGCCTCGCAGGATCGTGATAACTGATATCCCTTGTGTGGGCTGTCTACTGCCTACGGAACCGGGTGAGGAGATTCTGTTTTTGCCTGTGGTGAGGGTTCCCATCGGAGAAGATGAAGCGATCGTCTTTAGCCCGGTTTTGAGGGGTAGCAGAAACAGGCCGGGGACCCTTGTTGATGATCCCCCCATGGTGTTCATCCCTACCCCACCATACAAAGGCCGCAAGCACCTTCTTCCAATTTACCCTGAAACTACCAAATTATATTGTAGGGATTTGGGATCTCTTGCTCGTCACCTCACAGAGGTGTTGAATGTCGTGAGTATTATTGGTAGCTGTGATGGTGATGAAAATGATGGTTATGGAGATGAAGATGGTGATGAGGATGAAGATGGTTATGAATATGAAGATGAAGATGGTTATGAAGATGAAGATGGTGATGGTTATGAAGATGAAGATGGTGATGAAGATGAAGATGGTTCTAAAGATGATGGTCATCTTCATAACCATCACCGTCTTCATCTTCAGAACCATCATCATCTTCATCACCATCTTCATCTTCAAAACCATCACCATCTTTATCTTCATAAGTCATAACCATCTTCATCTTCATCACCATCTTCATATTCATAACCATCTTGATCCTCATCACCATCTTCATCTTCATAACCATCTTCATCACCATAATCATCATCTTCATCACCATCACAACTACCAATAATGCTCTCGGCATTCAACATCTCCGTGAGGTGACGAGCAATGGATCTCAAATCCCTACAATAAAATTTAGTGGTTTCAGGGTAAATTGGAAGAAGGTGCTTGCGGCCTTTGTGTGGTGGGGTAGGGAACACCATGGGGGGATCATCATCATCAGCCGGCCCCCCCGACCTGTTTCTACTACCTCGCAAAACCGGGCTAAATACGGTCACTTCATCCTCTCCGATGGGCACCCTCACCACCGGCAAAAACAGAATCTCCTCACCCAGTTCGTAGGCAGTAGACAGCCCACAAAAGGGTTATCATGATCCTGCGAGGCCAGAAGAAGAACTGAAGATTGATGGATGGACACAATTTAAAAAAATACACAGTTTGAATTGACCAAATAAAAAACAAATCTTGCCACCCAAAATCACAACAGAAAATTACAAAGCAATAATCCAATACTTAGATGTCGTAGATGGAATAAACAGAGCTAGCCATATACGTACCCTTTCCAGTTGTAGTTCATGCTGCCGGTAATTCTAATCGAGATAGTTGCCCAAAGCCACTGCCAGGTCATCAGGATCGGTGTTATAGAGAACATTCCCGACAACTTCTCCGGTGAAATTCAAAGAGCTCTGGATGTTTGTGGGGGGCGGCAACACCTGCCGCCGTGAATACTCCGGAATTTTGGATAAAGAAACGTGTTTGCCCTATGGTGAAGGGTACCAACTCTGTCCGGATCCAGGCCACCCAAGGACTACAGCTGCCGCCACCCTTTCTTTCCGCCGCCGCCTCACACTGGCGGAAATACTATGTGTTGTCTTCTCTCAATAGGTCCCACAGGTATTGTATAATCTTTTGTTCTTCCCCATTCTCAACCCTGAATTCTACCACAGCTTCCCGACTCCCGAGTCATATTCTTCCTCATGCAGCGCGCAATCATCTTTAATGTGTCTTGAATCTGATCTGAATTTTTAAAGTTCCGATCTGATTGAATCCGATGTAATCTGATTAAATCTGATCTAATTGGATTTGGTCTGATTTGATTGGGTCTAATCTGTTTTGATTTTAATCTGACTAAGTAATAAGTAGAAAAAATAAGTCATACGCAACAAACCTTAAGTGTGCGTCTACATTTTGATGGTTCACATTGCTGCAAGGTGTTTTAGTCCCAATTTTTTTAGATGGTACTAGTATTTTTTATGCATTGGTTGGTTTACAACTATCATGGTTCAAATTCAATTTTGTTTTCCATTTTGTGTACACCTAGCATGGTTCCATTTTATCTGTTCAAATATTTTTAAAATCATTTGCTATCAAAAAGTCAAACATTATTCACTTTATTGGCATATTTTAGTTGCATACTTGTTAAAATAATATAGCCATCACTTCAAGTTTTTGTCGATTTTTTTAAATATAATTTTTAAATGTGTACTTTTAGTTTTTAACTTCGCTTAAATTGCCACGATGGTCATTACCTTTATAAAATTCTGAACGAATTTATCCAAACTACTTTCTACATGTATCTACTTATTTTGACATTTTCCGAGTCTTATTCCTTTCAATTGTCATTATTTTACTTTGATTAAACAACTCTTTCCCCTTCTAAAAGTCAAGACATAAATTGTTTTGTGAGACAAAAGAAATATTATTACAAAGCATGAAATATTGTTTTATAGTTTATGTAACATCGTAATTTTTCTTCTTTTTGAGTACATATGTTACATTATTGTTAAATTAATTGCGCGGTTATGGATTAGTTTGGTACATGAGTTTATTTTTTGAATTCAAACCATTTCTAACTCTAGCCAAAACATTACGGAGTATTCCTTCCACTCATTTTTATTTGTCTTGTTCGTATTTCAAATTTAATGTTTGACAAATAATTTTTCTTAATAGTGCATAAAACAATAATATTTCTTAAAATATGTTAGCAAAAAATTATTAAAAATTGTACATGAAAAATAATTTGTATATATATACCAATAACTTGGTATATTTTTATATTTTACCTCAATGCATATTTTTATATGTGGTTAGTCGCACATTTGGCACACAATACGAAACAAGAAAATTAAAAAAGAATGGAGGGAGTACAACGCACGTAGTATCAGGTACTTCTGTTGTACTAAAACCTTCGTCTCAATTACTATTAACACAGTCAAATTTTAATGACTTTCTTTATCTATTTTCATTAGTTATTTAATTAAATGATATAGTCTTGTCACCTCTTGTTTTGTAGAATTTTTTATGTAGTTTTTAAATAAAAAATTTAATTTTTGTATTTTTTAATCATACTCCCTCCGTCCCAGAAAGAATGCTACGGTTACTTTTCTAGCCTTTCGATAACTTTTGTTTGTTTATTCGTTTTGGTTGACTATTTGATAAAATAAAATATTCTTATCGCATCTTGTTTTGTAAAATTTTTCATATACTTTTGAATGGTGTAATTTTTATTTTTTATTACTCTACCAATTTGAAAATATAATAATTTTAAAAGTGATGATATTTTGCACGTTGTTCGAAATGTTGCAAATAATTTGGGACGGAAGGAGTATATTGAATTAAAAAACATTGGTCAAACTTGGTAAATAGAAACAGGAAAAATATTTTAGGACGGGAGGAGTATTTGGGTTGAATAATGTTTCCAAAAATAATCTTGTAAAAGTGATTATTTTTTAACTTTTAGTCGTATTTGTTATTGTTGCTCACGGTTGCATATGGGTTATCCATGTTTTTAGCTTTAAAACATAAGTATTTTTCAATTTTCCGTTCAAACGACTTCTAACTCTAATTATTTTTCATAATTAAGTACTTCGGTTGTGGTTTCTCAACAACAAAAAAAAGTACTCCGTTCTTCGGTTGAATAGCGTAATTAAAATAAACGAATGTGTAAAACTAATGAAGATGACTACAACAAAGAAGTAGCACATTGAAAATGATATTTTGTTGCCACATGAAGACATAATGATGCTTATACTATCAAAGCCTCCTGGAAAATCCCTTCTTCGATTCAAGTGCGTCTCCAAAGAATGGTTCCATTTGATACACGCAGTATGCAATCGGTATTATCCCAAAAAGTCGTCGCCTTGCCAGTTGGTGATAGTATGTCGACATCAACAGCAACAACGCGCTAGCGTTCGCCGCTTTTCTGTTATCCATCTCTCAAAGGTGGAGGAAGAAACTTCTTTGTTGCCTTTGCACGATGTCTTCAACCTTAATCTACCATTCTTCCTTCGCCAACAACATGCTGCTAAGAAAATCCTCTTTTCCAATGGCCTCGTATGCTTTTTCTTTAAGGAAGACATCCGTAACTATGCATTTAGTCCCACCACACGATACATCCTTAAACTTCCTTACTTGCCGGGACACATTTGCAATGTGTCTCTCAATGTGGGTTTTGGATACCAACCCCAGAGAGATGAGCAGAAGATCGTGGCGTGGTATGTTCAGGACGACTCAAATAATGTTAGTCGTACATCATCATCACATGCATTAGGATGTTGGATTCTCAGTTTGGAGAAAAATATCAATGGAACAATCACGGTCGTGGAATCTTCTTCGTCCTCAAGCTGGATGGGAATATCAGCTAATTTGCCACCTGCTAGCTGTTGCAGCCTCGTTCTTGGATTCCTTTTGCGTGAATAGCACCATCTATTGGCTATGTAGTTACGGTGTGCATTTGTTGCTTTTGTTTGATTTGGATGAGGAAGCATTCCAACTAAAGCCGCGGCCGTCTTTCCCAATAACTGCCACGGTGGTCGAGATTGAATTGAAGGTTGCTTGTGTGTTGGAGCATTTTCTATTTCTTCTTTCCAGGATAATCCTATCTTCACCTTGTGAAAATTCAAAAGTGGTGATTCCTCGAAAGTGAAACACAAGGTTACAGATTTCTTCATTTTGATCCTCCTCATCTCAGTCGTGATGCCGACATTTCACTTCTGGCTTATACGCTATCGAAAAACGGCGACAAAGAACTTGTTTTCGTGGCAGATGAACACAAGCACGGGAAGAGGCTACTTTATTACAACCTCCAATCACGATTCTTTTGAAGGCCATTGAAAATCTAAAACTGCTCATGGGTGATAACGGTCTTTATTTTCTTTTTTGATTCTCATCCCTAGAATTTTTTACTCCCTCCGTCCCGGAGTATTCGTCCAGTTTTGACTTTTGGAACTGTTCATCTAATCACTTTGACTCATCAAATTCTCTCAATGTGTAAGCCTAAATATAGTCACGTGTGATCTTGTTTGATTTGTTTTAACATATAGATTATTAATATATAATTTCTATAATTTTTTAATATACAAATTACAAGATAAAATGGATTAAAGAAGTGTATTGGATGGTGTGTAAAAATGAAAGTGGACAAATACTCTGGGACGGAGGTAGTATGATCTAATGTGGAACTTATTTTTGTATGAATGCAATGAAATACGTACTATAATGTGCAACTTTATAAGTGCTTTTGGAATCCACCGAACTAACATAGCTAAAGTTCATCTTAAACTTGTCACATTGTTGATGAAAATAATTTTATGTTGTACTCTTTCCGTCCCAATTTTTTAAATCGTCTGTCAATTTATGATTATGTTTGATTGAACGTATTATTTTAAAAATTATTTAAAAATTACATCAAAAGTTTTACAAAACAAGATGTGACATGATCATTTATTATTTTATAAGATGAATAACGAAAATCAAGAACTAAAGTGAACGAAGTTTGATACGAAACATTCATTTCAATATGATTTTGGACACCACAGGAACAGTCAGACTCTCGCCTCATATGGCTCCAATCCCGGAACTAGGACCTTAACTCCTTATAGGCGATCGTTTGTCGTCCTATGTGTAATATAATGTATATTGTGTGGTATATTGTTTATACGAGTATTATTTGCGGAGTATTCGATAATAATGATCAAATAATTTAGGCTACGTCAAAAAATACTTCCTCCGTTCGGGAATGTTCTTCCCGTGTTACACGCTTATTAAAGAGTAGTGAAAAAAGTGCCAAATTTCCAAAAATATACATACGATAAACTTTTAAATCTCTTTTTCTTATTAAAAAAATAATAAAAAAGTAGATTAATGATAAAATAGAAGGATATTATTATAATTTTATCCTTAAAAAATATACTAAAAAAAGAGAATGAGAATAATATTTTTGAAAGAGTAAAAAAGAAAAGTTGGAAGAATATTTTCGGATGGATGTAGTAATTAAGGTAGATTTTGTGGCCCAAGCCGGTTCCGGCTTACAGCCTGGGTTTGTTTAAGTTTCAACATCTATATTTCAATTTCCAAATCCTCCTTCCTCCCGGTTCTTCCATTATCTCACTCCATTTACCGGCAATTCAAATTTACTCGCCATGTCTTCTATGGTAAGAGCCACCGCCGGCGACCAGGACCACCAACTCAGCCTTACAGCCACGTCGGAGGACGGCTGCGGTACAGCTTTAACGATGCAGAAGAAGAAGGAGCGGAGAGTGAGCTTCGCGGAGACGACTTCCGTCCATTTCTTCGACCGCGACGAGGAGGAAACGCCTCCGGAAGCCCTGGCTAAGGCGGGTGATGGAAGCGGATTTCAAGTGAACGAGCTGAATTTCCATCAATTGGACAATTCGAGAAGGGACGACGATGGGGATGAAGAAGAGGACGGGAATGTGAGTGATGACGATGAGGACGGAGAGCCTGCATTGGGGAGATCGTTCCTAAGGCCCATGGAGTCTCCTTCTCCTGGTAGTACATTTGGATCTGCTACCTCGAATAATGGTTAGTCCACACACCCTTCTCTTGTTTTTCTGCTGATTATGCATTTTTTCTCTCCCGAAACTGTAAATGTATATCCAGGTTTTGAAATTGAACTACACAAAGCAGTTCTCCTAGTACTTTATGAGTTGCACTTTGTGCACTCACATTTTGCCTGTAGTTTACGGTATTAAATTGAAATATAGCTCTATTTTTAAATTTGATTGATGGTTTAACGAAATTTAACACAATTAAATGGTTTTGTATGATTTTATGTACAAAATAGGGAGTATGAAATATGATCAAAGTGCGTTTCTTTTGTTCAAATGGGACTATTTTTTTGGAGACAAAATAAGTTCGGAAAATGGACTCTTGTTATAGGATTGAGGGGGTAAATGCTTTTGTTATTCCTAGAAATGGTTTTGAGCCTTTGTTTAAGGATGCCCGTGGTACTTCATATTTGTATGTTGGCCATAAGGCATAAACATGTTGAAATACGTGACTAAAAGAAAATGTAGTGAATTAGTTGTTTAGAAAGAGAATATGTGTTGGAATGTACTTCATATTTTGAAGAAATAAGAGAAAATCAACGTTTAATAATGTATGTAACTTCTTTTTTAAAATGAAGATGCAAAAAATATATCGATCCGGATATGTACGATACACCAGGCTACCTGGAAGAGAAAAAATTGATCAATGAAGAGCATCAATGATCCATTCCATGTGTCTCAATAAATTGAGGTTAAAGGATGAATAGAGTATTGAACACATGTTTTTGAAAAAAAGACAACAGAATGCTCAGTTGGGGTAGCTATACACTCCCTCTGTCCCAAGGATAATGTCCCAAATTATTTTTGCACAAATGTTAAGAAAAATATCTTTTTTTGGTCATCTCATTTTATTAGTGTTAGCACTTAAGAAACAAACATTTTTATTTTGGTTTTAGTCCACTCATTTTTAGAACTCTAGGAAATTGGACTATAAAACGGGACACTCCAAAATGGAAAGTGTGACATTATATTTAGGACAGGTGTACACCAACTTTTCCAAATTTGCAAGAATCGTATCATATCAATGACTTGTTTTCAACTTCATCAATAAGTTTTGTGAAATAAAAATACTTTTCTTGAAATGAGGCTAATAAGTATTTCCATTTCCCTATGGAGCCAAAGATTCACTATTTTTTTAGCGTTGGGGTATGATGGAATAAAGCAAATTGACTCTTTAAACTGTTTGCTCTTCTTGCAATTGTGAAGTAGCAGTTAGTCAATGCAACTTTCGACGCTCATCATGGGTCATCTGGTAACAGCCGCTCTATGTTTTAAACATAGGGGTCAAACTTGTACATCCGACCTCCCTTACCCCGCAATGGGCGGGAGCCATTGAGGCACAGGGGTAACGTTGTTGTTTGTTGTTGTTGAGGCCAATGAGTGTGATGAGTTTAATGAATAAAGCTGTGTAAGAATTGTGTTGGTGAATTTTTTTGAGCATTATAGTTGTCATTAATGGATTATATCAGACACCTATTGTAGGATTCATTATAAATCCCATTTTTGCTTTTCACACCAAAGATTCATTCCAAACCATGCTAGAGATGAAAGGACCAAAAATATTTTAGCACCACACACAGATCGTAACCAATTGTTTTGAACTTATGAATTAATTTTTTTCTCATGAATCCCATTTTTCCTTTTCGCACAAAAGAATCATTCCAAACTGTACTAGACATGAAAGGACCGAGATATTTTAGCACCACCCCAGATTATGACCAAGTGTTTTGAAATTATGAATTATTTATTTGCTTACACTGTGTTATGCACCAGTTATTGAATGCATCTCTTTATACTATAGTAATTGGATATGCCAGAAGTAATCCGTACTTGCTTCAAAAGAGCCAAAACGCAAAAGGCCAATAGTGAACATGACAAGAAAACATTGATATTTTGTGTAGAGAAGAAAAAACGAGTACTTATAATTCCTTGACCACCTTAAGCTTCTGTTATTGTATACACTTATTCAATTCAACATCTTTACCCGGGAGGGGGTGGGACCGTGGGGGCATAGATTGAAATGACAAAAAATACCTTTACAACAGATTTGATTTATACAGAGTATTAAATAATATATTTGGGCCAGTTGCTTATTGCATTGCTTTTGGCTGACTTTTTTAAATTCAAAACAGAACAATTTTTCGGTCCGGTATCACCCAGTTTTATAAGGCCCGGAAGACTATCAGATTCAGCTGTTTCAGAAGATAACCATGAAGTTACCATGGATTCAACAGCTTTCTCCATGCATTTTCGCAGCCTTGCTAGATCAGAGGCAGGGGTAGACTTGAAGACCCCACCTGGCACGCATCTTTTTGGTGAAGAGAAAACACCAGAATGCACTCAAGGAAACTCTATGGTCCTCACAGTAACAAAGAAGTCAATTTTGAATTCCTCATTACCTGTTGTTAATGCTAGTGGAGAAAGTGATTCAAGCGATATGAGTCTGATTGGTGAACACTCACAGGAGTATGATTATGGTAGATTGTCACCCGACTTAAATGCACTTCTAGCAGAAGGTCAACATCAAATAGATATGTTTTCATTATCAGATAATATCAGCGCTTCAGCATTGCCTAGAAACAAGAAATCCGATTATTTATCAGCAAAAGAGGATGAAAGTTGCACTATGGGTCCTGATGAGAGTTGTAAGCACGATGCAGCTGTTGCTGCTATCCATAATATGCCATCTGATTCAGTATATGCTCATGCCCCCCTTGATTCATCAGTTTCTCCATCCAATCCTCCAGATTCAGGCATTTTAGTTGATAACAAAGCTTTGTTATCTAATAAATTTAGTAAAGTAAGAGCCTGACTCATAGCCAGTTAGCCAGTTGTGTTTGAATGCATGGTGATAGTGTAAATTAAAAGAGGATTGGCTGAGCCAGACTGGGGAAGGGCTAATAGACCAAATAACGAGTTAAGGGAACCTAGGTGGGAACACCTAGGGTCCGGGATGATATTAATAAGAATGAGTGATTAAGTGGAGGCGTTAAATACAGCACTATGGTACAAAGTACAAAGCTACAACGACCTGGTCCACTCAGACTTTCTCTCTAAATGCCAAAAGTAGTTTTTTCTTCATGAATTCAGGGGTATTCATAGGCCCACAGGTCGGTTTTGGACATGCCAATTGTCAGGGACACATTTTAGTGCCTGGATCAGTTCATACTTGACATATGCCTGCCCCTAGGCCTGCATTTTTCTGCTAGTATGGGGCTATCGTGACAAGGGTGCACTGTTGGTCAGCACTGTATCCTTGTCATCGCTTTAAGAAATATTCCATTTCCCTGTTAAGTAATGTCTCTTGCCTTCCCGGCCTGATTGGCCATGGTAGTAGCCCATCAGGGGATATTTGATATTTAGTCTTTTGAAATCAACAATTTTAATCATTTTGACATGCTGATAGTCCCTTGTATTGATGTAATTCATACTCCCTACGTCCCTAAGTTGTCGTCCCCTTTACTATTTGAGGATTCGGATAACTTTTATTTGCGTATGTGTTTTCATTGATCATTTGATAAATACAATAGGCATGTCACCACTTGTTTTGTAAAAACGTCAATATAGTTTTTAAATATGTAAATTGTACTTTTTATTTCTATACTAGTTTGTAAATAAAATCACTTTAAAAGAGATGGAATTTTGCACGGTGGTCGAAAGAGGACAATAATTTAGTGATGGAGGGAGTATATCATTACACAAGAAATAAGATGTTGCAATACAAGGCCGTTACGAAAGTGAATCAAGAATCATGAAGGAACACAAATTACTAACACCACACATTTTCCAAACTTTCAACATTAATTCGGCTTTTTAGGCCATGGACTAATCCCTATAGAAGTGGTTTCAAAGCTAAATATGTATATAGGATTAAGCGATGGTTTCAACCCGATATTCCCTGACTATTATGCTGGATGTTCGAAATGCTGCAGTGATTATTTTTTTCAAACGTTTTACTTATCTCTTCATTTGATCCTATGGTAATATCATTGTAACATTGTTAGATAGTAGGATGACATGAAGATATCAGATCATTTCCATCTTGAAAATGTTTTGTTTTCAGCAGGAAAATTTTGTTTTTCTATTTTCAGGAGAAACTAGTTGGTTACAGTATGGGGGCTTCTACAGATGCTTTTGAGGTTTGGAGAACTAAGAATCTTACTTCAGTGAATTATGATTCCCCATTGAGTCTTCATATTCCTAAAGACATCTCTCCCCAATTGAAATCTCCGCTGACAGGGGCTGTATCACCTTCACCTATCTGGGGGAGTCCAATGCATGCAGTAAGTAATGCACAAAAATATTGTTCTACGGTAATTTGTTCTCAAAAAGATCCCTTTATCAAAAAAGAGAATACGGGATCTCTGGTGAGCTCCGCATCCATTCAAAAAAGCATTTCGAAACTTGAAAGGCTCAGGGCCTCTGCATTTTCCTCTGCCTTGGGTGACGGAATGCTTGATGTGCCTGTTAAATCTTTTGATTTTACAAAAACACCTCCTTTGAGCTCTAACATGGGAAAAGTCAATACTAAACAAGTCAAAGAGAAGTTTGTGAGTGCTCCTAGCATTTCTGAAGACGAGCAATTCTCAAATATTGTTCAGATAGAGGGACAGAAAAGACAATTCAGCAAGGATGGAAATGGTTTCACGGCTTTGGCACATTATGAAGGTAGGACTAGTAGTGAAAACCCTACGGGTAAAGGATGGAAAATCTTGAGATAATATATACTCCCTCCGTCCCAAAATAAGTTTCACAGTTTCTCTATTACCTTTGAAAAGAATGTGTGGCTCATAGTACTTTTCCCTCTTCTTAACAAATTTTAACCACACTTTTCATTTTTGAATACTTTCCTTAAGCTCCTTGAAGTCAAACTATTGAGTTTATTATGGGACAGAGGGAGTATTAATATATGGAGGTATACCACTATAATTGATCACTTACTGATTCCTCTCCCATCCCCCTTTATTTGATCAGGAAAAATGCATAGTCCATTGATATCAGAGGACCCTAAAGAGATGTTATTTACTTCTGAAAGAGATTCCCTCCCAGCTGAATGTGTAGGAGAAAAGCAAGCATCTACTACCCCTTGTATTAATTTTTCTCCAGGAAAATCATTGGAAAAACTTTCACCGTCGTTTCAAGATTACCTGTTTAGCCCAGGCAGAAAACCAAGGTTTCTTGGTGGATCTGCTAATATTTCAGGTGATAAAAGAAAAAATGAATTACTGATTGAGCACAGGGATAGTCAGGATGCTATTATCACATTGCAAAGGAGTCCAAAACTACAAAAATATCAAGGCCTGGATATCTCAAAATGTCCCGATGAAACTTGCAGTGGAAAACCTTCTGAACTTAAATATTGGGCAGATGTATGTATGTGTTTTTGTTTTGGTAGTTGAAAAGGCAAATAGCAAGTGCCACTTCTGTCAAAGTTGAATAACTTGTAAAAATATATGGAGTATCACTTGCAGTATCATTCTTACTAAGTAAAATGTGTCTTGCCTTGCAGGTGAAGTCAAAATTCTTGGAGAGCGCAGATAAATGGGAATTCTTGCCAACAGAGAAACTTAGTGTATATGGGGTATCCTGTTCTTTCTTTACATTATAACGTAAAGTTATCTTCAATTCTAGTAATTGCTTCATTTTTAATATAGTTAGATTTTAGGTGAATGTTTCTTGCATCAATTTTAATGCACTCTTCAAGATGTGCTCTTTAGGCAATGTATCTTTTTCCCTAGTCCTATTATCTAGTGAAAGTTATGTTTTATTTTTTATGTTGTAGATTGACGTTCTACAAGATTTCATGAATCACATGCACAAGTCAAAAAAATATGAGTTATTGCACCATGGACTTCTCTCTCAGGTCTGCAGATATGGTACACTTTTTTTAGAAAATATGAAAATGATAAACAAATGCGTGCTTTTATGAATTCCATGTTATTTCAGTTATTGATGTGATCTTCTCTATATATTCCAGAAAAAATCTGCCCATCAAAATCTTCTAGAGAAAAGGTGATTTACAGATTGGGTGAAATCGGTGAATAATATATTTGGCTCAATCTAAAACATCCGTAAAATGCTGTAGCAGGACAGCTGAATTGAAATTGCTTTTGTGCCGAGTTGTGCATGAGAAGGCGAAGTTTCATTTGATGCGTGCGAAGCAAGAGAAATTACAGGTACTGGCGTACTGCCTGTCATGTAATGATTTTTTCTTAATCATATATTTTCACTGGGCATTCCTTTTTGCATGCAGGAAAAGTTTCGTTCTGTATGCTCTGGGATTCAAGAATGCATAACTTTGAAGTTTAATTCTTTTACTCAAATATCTGCAACTTATGCTAAAAGTCTCCAACTTGATGCTTCTCTGCAGACATCTCTTGTCAATTTAAATGGAATGCGAGAGGTATAGGTCGCATCCTTTTTTTCGAATTTGTTTTTTTCATTTCTTTGGTCTTTTGTCATTCTTTTATGCTATGAAATGATGAAAAGAGACCTTGTGATGTTCAGGATTCTTTGTCATACGAGATGGCATTCTATGTTTTTTTTCAATCGCTTCCTTTTTTGGAACTAAATACAAAGTTCCAACTTCTGAGATATCTATTTGCTTAAACACACATTAATACCTCATTTGTTTTGCAAGCATTTCTAATTTTCTATACTTCATTTTCTTAGTATGTGCTTTTGGTGTCACAGTCACACATCATGTAATTTACTTTAGTGTGTGTACGAGTGTATTGGGGGGGGGCACGACTTGTCTAAGAGGTGGTATGTGTTCCCTCAGTGAGGCATGTTTAGGCAACTGAGTGAAGAATGAGGCTGGTGATGATGAACTCTGAACAATAAAATTAAATTGCATCAACTTCTGCCAAGTAATTCACCTTTAAAATTTGATGCCTTTGGTTAACTTTGTCACTTCTTTGTTATCTGCATGGACTATTTTGTGCTGCATTAATCTCTTTTTGTCATATTTTTGTTGTCTACTGCCTAGTGGTGCTTTGTGCATTAGCAATAACGATGAGAACTATGATGATAGTTTTCCGTCATCTTATCATCATGAATGATGATGATGATGATAAGAGTCTCCAAGTGTTTTGCATGTCCAGTTCTTTTGAAAATCCTTGGTTTCCATGCATGCTCCATGTATGCAGAATCCATATGAATGATTTGTAGTGAGCCATAAGGCTCAATTGTGTATCTCTTAAATGACAGGTGGTTCGTGACAAAGTGAGCACTATGGCGCAGACCTTGGAACTTTCAGACATGAAAATTACAAACTTGATTAAGTATTTTAACAGTACTATAAAAATGAAAGATGAACTAAACTGTAATGACACTATTGCATTTGTAAAGGAGTTTCTGGTGAAGAGAAAACGTTGTGGATTCTTTCATCAGGAGATGCAGGTATGCAGTTCTGCTGTTTCATTTGTATGCACAGAGTCATGGAGATTATTGGGTGTTTCACTAAGTTATTCTCTCTTCTCTCTAAGATGTTTGATATTCAGAGCATTAAGAGTAGTCCTGATCATCACAATCTCGTCCTCAACTACCTTGGGATCCTTGTTCAAAGGTCTTCTCATTATCTTTTACATCCATTTTTTTTAAAGAAGATTAGAATACTTTTTGGCTTTAAACTCTTTGCTCTAACCATACTGGTTTCATGTGTGTCACAGTTTGAACATAGCTACTGGCTCAGCTTCAAGCATAACCATTATTAACAGACTTGATGATTCTGCCATTACAAAAGTAATGGCTATAAAAATATCATTTATCCTGGATTTGTATGCTTTACTCTGTTTACCTTTCTTGATTTACTTCAGCCTTTTATATTTCTACCCTGTAGAACTTCCGCAATATGGATGCTTACACTGCATTTTCATTTGTGCTGGAGGATGAGATATCCAGGAAGCTTGTTGGTACTAGAAGTCTAGCCCAAGAGATTCAGGTGATCTTGCTATCCTGTTTGTGCATCGGTTTGCATCTTCTTCTTCTTCTTCTTTTGTTAAATTAAAAAAACAACCAGCAAAGGCATATAGTCCGTATTATTTAATAATTAGTGTAATTGACTTCCAATACCCATAGACTTCTCATACATGTAATGAGAAAGAAATACTGTTGAGCTTGAGCATAAATAATTTGGAGTCAAGGGACGCAAATCTTTGATACTTTTTGCTGATAGTACTGCCTGATAATTTTAATCACTTCACATCCATCAACGTAATGATTTCATGGCCACAAGACTGTTGTACTTTGTATACAGGTGACTCAGTCCCTCTTGGGCAATTTGATTGATGTGATTCAGGAGGCACAGTTGGCACGGAGAGAGCTTCGCAACCTGGTTGATACTCGTTTTTGCTCTTCTAATGGTAAATCCATTGTCTTCTTTCATACTCAGTTCAGAAATTATCCAGATAAGGTTTGTCCTGTATCTTCTCTCAGGACAATTACTTGGAGGGTCGTTTGGAATTCGGAAAATGACAAGGGAAGAAAACAGGGGAAAAAGTATATTAAAGAAGGGTGGGGTTCTAGTGACACTGGAAAACGGTGCCACTAGCGGTGCCACTGGGTTTTTGGGGCACTTCCGGTGCTCGGTTCGTAAAATTGACGGTTCCTACCCCCCCTAACCCACCCCCTAAACCCCCCACCCTACCCCCACCCCTGCACCCCCACCCCAACCCCG